AAAAAAAAAAAAAAAAAAAAAAAAAAAAAAAAAAAAAAAAAAAAAAAAAAAAAAAAAACAGGTAACGAAATTCTACTTTTCGGTTTGCTAAAACGAAGATGAAGCAAATTTTTTTGGTAGATTAATTACTACACATATTTGTTAACATTTTCCTCACCAAAGTTAGGTTTGATGATTTAGACAATTACATACTCAATTTCTGGAAATTTTTTTTAAAAATATGAATCTCTAAAGCAAATATTTGACGGATACGCAAGCACATAGGGTCACTTTCTCAATTTGTTGACTTTTAAGTATTATTTCACATAAAAATATTGATTTTCATTTTTTAATGTTGGGGTGCACAACCTTTTTGAGTGAAGGGCCACTTGCACGGCATGTAGATTAACAAAGAGCCGCACACATATTTAGTCATGTTAGTCGCAAATATGCTAAATTTTATATAAACATTAATAACATATTTGCAGAAAATTAAATACTTTGAATTATTTGAATTTATTTAAAACTAAAAAAAATGATAAATTTTAAAAAACTTTTCCATTTTGCACAATAATTAATTTATCAAATATATATATACATAAATAATAAATTCGAACCAAAAAGGAGCTTATAGAATGAAAGTGCAAAAAATATAAGCATTTAAGAGCAATATAAATTTGAATTAATTATTTTAATTAAAAAAAATTTATAATGCTTAAAGAAAAACCAAATCAAAAAAAAATAAATTTTTATAGCGTTCTGAAGTTCCCGAGGGCCACACACCAACAGTCGGTGGGCTGTATTTGCTGTGGGGGCCTCAGGTTGTGCACCCCTAGTTTAATGATATGTTTTACAAAAAAAAAAAAAAAAAAAAAAAAAAAAAAAAAAAAAAAAAAAAAAAAAAAAAAAAAANAAAAACCAAAAAAAAAAAGAAAGAAAGAACAAGAAGTAAAAAAAGAAAAAATGCAATAGGCACATTTTGTTTCCAAGTTATTTCTGTTAAAAAAAATATTAAATCTAGGTAAAATGCCATTATTGTTAGAGATGTTAACCTCTCCGTTCTAGAGATGTATTATTTTTCTAGGAGAATATTCTTAAAAATATTCTCGTCACAGAGAATATTTTCTTAGAAGTTACATAAAATGACAACATACTCTAAATGTGATATTGAATTTATTTATTATTTCATACAGTTAAAAAATATTTATAAATACTAAATTGTACAGGAAATAAAAATAAAATTAAGAAAGTCCCATCAAGTGGAATTATACTGAATAAAAACTTTAAAAAATTGCTTTCTAGAACAATTTTAAGTGCACAAAATTGTTCTTTGGATTGCACTTCAGGCATAAATAATGTTACCAAGAATATTATTCTTAAAAACTGATTATTCCCATTATACCTAAAACTTATAACTTACTGAACATTTCAAAATTTTTTAAATATTTTCGTTACATAATATTAGATGATTTATATCTATAAACATGGCGCGTAGCCAAATTTTTCAATAAAAAATAAGCACCTTTCAAGCACTTAAAAAAATATATAATTAGGCAGGTTTGGCAAGTTTTTGACAATTGACGGTTTTGTTCGGATTTAACCGTAATGTCAAAAAAAATTTAGTTTTGCAGGTATAGTTTTTGACAATTGTCAAAAATCAGGAAATTTTGAATCATAAAGCAAATGGCATTTTCATATGCTAAGTACTGACGGTACGCCAAAATAGATTGGGGTTGAGTTAATAGTGAAAACATTGAATAGAACAATTTAAACAATGTCTTTTTGCATAATACGCTGCGAAAATCAACAGGGTAAAGGGAAAATTAAGCACTTTTCATAAACACCCAATGACAAAAGCACCTTTAAGAGCTTTTAAAAAACAATAATCGAAAATAAGCACCTTTAAGCACTTTTTAAAAAAGCTACGCATATGAAGGTTTTTTTGTGAGTTACAATAATTACATTTACTAATTATCATGTGCATATTCCATAGTAAAATGAATTACATTAAATAAACTATCTTAAGAGCAATTCTGTATATCGGAAGTTCTCCTTAAGACACTGTCCTTAAAAACTATCAATCAGTATCAATAAGATGTTTCTTTTTTAAAAAAAAATCTCCTCAAAAATTATATAAATATCGTTGAAACATCATAAATATCGCTATCTGTTGAAAAGAAATACTATGGTATTAAAAACGTATTCACTATGCAGCAAATATTTTGAATCCTTAATTTAATGGGGTGAATTTAACAACAGAAGAATGAATTTTAAGTAAAGCGAAATTATTCACAGATTGGCAGCATCTAATGAAATTCTATTGGAACTAGCTGAATATCTAAACAAAAAATGTTTTTGTCTAATTTTAAGCAGATTTGCATGTCCCCAAGTCTGCTGAAAATATTAATCCTTTAACTTGAAAAGGAACATGCATCAATGTAAAAAGTTTGCTAAAATTGCACCAATAGTGCAAAAAACTATGCTTTTAAGATTTTTTTAGTATTTAATTGTTGAAAATACTTTTTAATACTTTCGTGATGCAATGATCAACATCATTTTCAGTTCCATATGGCTTCATAACTGAAAAGTTTTTAATCTATTTGAAAATCAAGTCAGACACTAGCGTACTTTCCTCTCTTATGATTCCCCACACATGAACGCTGTAAGCATGCAAATTGTTGCAATAGGTATAGAGTTCTGCTCTATGCATTTTGATTGCCAATATTAAAAAGAAAATATAACAAGTTTAGTTTTAGCAAGGTTAACAAAATCTCAGATTTTTTCAGAATTTCAGTGCTATGATTTGCTGTCATGCCAAAATCATAGTAAGTTGTCACTCAAAATTAATATGAGGAATAGAATTTAAAATTAAGTTAACTGTTACATTTCTCAAAGCTTTGTTAACCAGTCTGTAAATACATTATATTTTAGTTCACAGCATCCATATCACCATCTAGAATTTCTCTCTTTTTTTCTGCTGGAGAAGGGTTTAAAGATCATATTTAAATAATTCATACATAAATCAAATAGAACATGTAGGGTTGAAATCCAAAATTCAAGTTTTTTTTTTGTTAAAGTCAAGAAATACTAATGGGGGCGAGGAAAGATCCCCTGAGCCTTTTTTAATTGAAGCTAGACAGTCCAGCATTTTTTTTTATTTTTAAACCTTCTGAATAGTTCTTTTCTTCTTTTTTTTTGCAACCCTGGCGCTTGACATGATTAAGAAAAGTCTTATTTGAGGAAGAAAAATTGAAACATTTACAAATATTCAATGAAAGAATATTTGTAAATGTATTCAAGTCTTAGTAAAAGTATGCAGTCTTCAAGGACTTTTAAAAAACAAAAATAAGCATATTTAAGCACTTTTTAAAATGGCTACGAATCTGTAGACGCATTTTCAAAAATGCCTCAGATTAATAATATCTATAGTTTTTAAATTGAATGAAATTTTTAATTTTGAAAAATGGCAACATTGTAAAAATCTGAGACTCAAAATTCCTACAACTGGCCTGAAACAAAAATTCCTACCTTAGCTCTTACAAATTATTCTTACTCACTGCAGTTTTTCTAAATTATCCTGAGAACAAAGTTTATCAATACATTGAAAGATTATAAGAGCAAATTCAGATAAAGCATACCTGCAACACAGTTTCTCCTATAGTTTGTCTAAACTAAGAACTCCCCTAACCATTCGTCTGGACCCGTGGACGTGACTATGGTAACGAGGTATAACTATTTCAAGTAGGGGTGTGGGGTCATTGCTCAGGACAGATTTTGGCTCGGGTCGGCGAAAGTTAAGGGTATCTTTTTCTTCAGTCTACTGAATTAGCCCTAGAGTGAAGAGAGCTACCCTCCTTGAAATGAGCTAGTCTTGTTCCCATAGCAAGACTTTGCGACAGGGGGAGTTCTTACTGTAGACAAACTATATCCACTTCTAATGTAGATATATAACAAACAACTAACAAAACATATGTTAATATTTTCTTAGGCTCTGCACAAGGTGGTTTGATTCCACCAATGAAACTTGACCCACTACAAAATTTGTAAACTACAAATCTTTTGTGGTCCCCCTCCCCTTTCACATGGTGGAGGCTACAAAGCAAGGGATATGATGATGTGAAGACCAACCATAGGGTCAGAAAAGGAAGAGATAAGGTGTGATAGATTTATGAAGAATTGGAAAGCCTTCTTTTAATTTGCTCTTCTGGAATAAACAATTCTTTCAATTTGTTTTTGTGGGGCATATAGTTTCATTGAGGAACAAAAAAGTTTCTAGTGGGCAGTAGGGATGTAACGAATATTCGGCCCTTTTGCCGAATATTCGGCCTAGCGGAATACTGAAGTTATTCGGCCGAATAATGAAGTTATACGAATTAAGTCAATTTTTTAAATGATTTTAAAAAATTGACATATAAGTTTTTAGCTTTCTGGGTTTTAATAATTTTTCTGGCAAAAAAGAAAATTAAAAAATACATTTAACAGTAGTAATGAGCTATTTTAAATAAAATATATAAATTACAAGTATAATTAGTTAGAATATGCTATTATTAATTATTTAGATTTGTGAAAGCCTTATTGTTGGCATCAAGATATTTAAAATATTACAAAAAATACATCAAGTTGTTAAATTTCTTTTAAAATATAGAAAGTTTAAAAAGGCAAATTTGTTAATATTTATTTCATTTTTAATTTAAAATTTTAAAATTATTTAATTACAATATTAAAATTTCAAAGGTGAAACTTTTTAAAAAGTTCTTAATTTTCTGTGTTTTAATAATTTTTCTGACAAAAAAGAAAGTTAAGAATGCATTTAACAGTAGTAATGAGTTCCTATTTTAAATAAAATAGCATATAAATTACAAGTATAACTATAACTAAAATATGCTATTATTAATTATTTAGATTTATAAAAGCCATATTGCCTTGTTATTGGCATCAAGATATTTAAACTATTACAAAAAAGAAATCAAGTTGTTAAAAAAATTTTTAAATATACAAAAATTAAAAAAGCAATTTTTTAATATTTAATTCATTTTTAATTTAAAATTTGAAAATTACTTTAATTACTATCAAAAGAGAAATTTTTAAAAAGCAAGTATTCGGCCTAAAATTTGGCCGAATATTCGGTATTTGGACCCATCACTATTCGTTACATCACTAGTGGGCAGCCTTATTGTGATATGTCCCCCCAACTACAATCACCAAATGGAAAAAAAAACAAAAAAAACATATACAGCCTGAGGGTGACTATGATCTGGTTCCCTTATGTGACTTTTTCTGGTTCCCTTATGTGACTTGCTAAGACTCAAATTCGACATCACACAATATTTCTGTGGCGTAACTACCACTATAAATATTAAATACCAATTCAGTAGTATATAAGACAAGCTAACTTGGTTCTATCATGAGGTACCTTTTGATAAATGAAGGTTGGCTTAGTCGATAAATATATCCCCCTCATTATTTTAAAAACTACAATATCATCTACGAAACATACATTTTTTCACTCACCAGTCTAATGAATCCGAAACCATTTTGCTTGTTTAGGAAAACTTCACCAAGTTCTCCAAACTTTTCAAACATTTTTCTAAAATCATCTTCAGTAATATTAGTCGGCAAATTTCCTACAAATAGTCTGCATCGTCCAGAGAATTTTCGCGCTGAAGGATCGTCCTTTGTTGTTAAATTTATTGTCGGTCCACAGATAGCATCCAATTTTTCTTTAACAAAATCTTTCCGCTGCCACTGTTGGTTGTCGGCGTTTTGCGAGCGGCCAGGTGGTGCTCGTCTATCATTTCGATTGTTTGTTTTACGATTATTTCGCGCGTCAGGAGCAGAATTTGCATGTTCATAATCTACAACTTGTGGGTTCTCAGTCATTTTTATTATTTAACAAACCACAGCTAATAATACTCAAAGTTACCCAAAGCTCAAGCTACCCAACGACCAAGCACGCCTTGAAGATGATGACTGACAGGCGATTTTGGAGCTCTTTGCTGCTTTCTGCTTATAGCTCACTTATCAATACGTTAGGATCAGTGGTTGGTTGCTGTTGTTGTCGCAAGTTACACTGCGGACTGAAGACGCTTCCACACCCAGGGCGAAACACGAAGCGGCGTTCTTAACTCGGAACAATTTTGAAAAAGAAATCTGAATTTAAAGGAATAATATTAACTTATTTTCTCCCTTTAACTGTCTCCCGCGGTGGACTGATCGTTAAGACGCTATTCCCAGCATGGACGCTAACGGATTTAACTCCAACAACAACCCCTTAATTGCCTCTTTGGTAGGGTCACAACGGTGTATATTTCTGCCAGAAAATTATAAAATCCTAAAAATTTTTTAATTTATTGATTGATTAATTTGTTCATTTACGTCACACTTGAGCTGCACAATGAGCTATTGGCGACAGTCTGGGAAACATCCCTGAGGATGATCCAAAGACATGCCATCACAATTTTGATCCTCCGCAGAGGGGAAGGCACCCCCGCTTCTGTAGCCCGACGACCTAAACCTGAAGTCGAGCACTTTACGGTAGAACAATTTAACGAGAACCAATACCGCACACCCTCGGTCCCTACACAGACTGATCAAAGCTTTCACCCACCCGCACACTGACCGGAGTCAGTGATGCTTGACTTTGGTGATCTGCTGGGAACCGTGTCTTAACGATCAGTCCACTGCGGGACTTGTTAATTTAAGAAAACCCTAAATGATAATTTAAGAAACATATCAAAATAAATAACCATTAACAATTTTGCGGTTCAAAAAAGAAAGAAAAAGAAAGCCGTTGGTTTAATTAAGGAGAATATCAATTCAGTATTCCTGATTAAGCATCAATTATAATTGATATTTTTAATGAGTGTAACATAATGAGTGCTTATATATTTGTATATCACAATATTCAATATGCAAATATATCACAATATGCAAATATTTACTCATAAGCGTTTGACATTTTCATGCTTTTCCAGATACAAAAGGTTTTATTGACTTTTCAAGATCAATTGTTTTTGACGTTTAATTGTTTAATATTAAAGAATTGTTTTGTAAATATTTTAATTGGACCACGTATGATATTACCGGGTAATAGTGTACCCTACCAGAGGAAATAATTATAAACCTAATATGGGGTATACAATGTGACTCTTTAATTACCTATGTATGTATTAATATAATAGTGCGTTGAATAGCGTTTAAATGAAAAAATTCGAAGTCAATATTCTGTATAAAAATATAGTCCAATATCTTCCTCTAATAATAACCTATAATATTCAAATTGGACCACGTATTATATTACCCGGTAATAGTGTGCACTACCAGAGAAAATAATTATAGACCTCATAGAGAGTCTCATAGAGGGCCCATCCCCCCAAGCTCTTGGGCAAATTCTAAATTCCCCCCAAACTATTCGTTTTATTTAGTGTAAAAATTCGCCGCCCCCAAGCTTTAAGTGGGCGCATCGTGCGCCCACCTCTACCCCGTGAAGGGGGCCCCTGTCTAAAATAGTGCGTTCAATCGCTTTAAAATGAGGAAATTCGTCTTCTAAAGAGCTTTAAAAATTCGAAGTCATTTTTCAATATTAACTAACGCAAGGCCCGATATCAGGCCTTAATTATGACCCATAATATTTTAATTGAATGACGTATTATATTACCGGGTAATAGTGTACCCACCAGAGGAAATAACTATAGACCTCAAAGGTGGTACGCAATGTGGCCCTGTAGTTTACTATGAACGCATATCTAAAATAGTGCTTTCAATCGCTTTAAAATGAGGAAATTCGTTTTCTAAAAACCATTAAAACGATGCGATTCGAAGTCATTTTTCAATAATAACGCAAGGCCCGATATAAGACCTTAATATTGACAAATAATATTTTAATTGGACCACGTATTATATTACCGGATAATGGCGTATGCTAATAGAGGAAATAATTATAGACCCATAGGGGGTACACAATGTGACCCTGTAGTTTACTATGTATGTATATCAAAAATAGTCTTCTGAAAAGCTTTAAAATGAGGAAATTCGTTTTCTAAACAGCTTTAAACGAATCTCAGCTTTAGCAACTTTTCAAAAAAATTTCTTTTTTATCTTCATCCGCTTATTTTGCATTATATTATTTTTTCAGTGTGTTTTTCCATATTCTAAAGGGTCCTTCATATAGGACATAATTTTCTTAAAACGGGGAAAATGGCGAATAACAGATGAAAACAGGAAAAATCCAGGAAAAAAGGTTTATTTCCATTGTTTTAATTATTTTTACAATATATCTGACAGTTTATCATGCATAAGGTGTTCTATGAGTAGAATCGTGCATCTTTCTTTGTTAAAGAAAGCAAAAAGGAATAATAATAAAAATATAATAAATGAAATAAAATGGCGGGGAGGGGTTCGAATTTCGAAGCCGTCTAACTCCCTTTAATATAAAGGTATAATTTTCAAACTCGGACCCTATGTAGAGGTCTATGGTTCAAACATGTCTACTGGAGGAAATTTTTATAGGCGAATTAGGGGGTGCAGGGGGTGCCTCAAAGGTCTATCGCTAAGCTGACGGTGAGAGGACTTTTGAAGCGAAATTGTGGCTAGCTTCTCGTGTTTTAGTAGTATGGTGGTCAAGACACCGGACTATTAACCGACGGCAGGGGCGAGTTGGTTCGGTTCCCAGCTTCAGCAACTTTTCAAAAAAATTTCTTTTTTTTTTCTTCTGCTTA